GGATCAGATCACCATTTTTGGTGAGAGCGCCGGGAGTTGGTCGGTGTCCGCACACATACTCTCCCCGCTATCCAAAGGCATATTTAAGAGGGCTATTATGGAGAGCGGCGCCCATATGTATAACAAGGACAGGGATGTGGTCAACAAAACTGAGGCTTTATCTCAGGCCAAAGCAATTGCTAAAGGATTGAAATGTAATGAAACCGAGGATTGGATACAATGTCTGCGAAGAGCGGACGCCAAAGATATTCTGAAATGCGAGACTCAGTTCCCAATTAACCCGTTATTTGAAACAGAGTTTTTACCCATTACTGCCCAACAGGCTTTTGATGAGAAAAAATTTAACACAAGTAATATTTAAATTAATGCTATTTATATAATATTATTGTTTAAATATACAGTGTAAATTTTCTAAAATTATTAATTAGCAAATTCTTAATAATTATTTACATTATAAAATAGATATTGATTTACTGGTTGGCATAACACACGACGAAGCATCGGGGTTTATTAATATTTTAATTAAAGACCCGACACATATGACACTCGTTGACTTTAACAATGGGGTAAAATCACTCGATTTATTGGGTTATCACAATTTAAATTCAACTAAACTTACGAAACATTACCTGAAAAGTGTTAACACTAGCGATAGTCAAGCACTTCGCACAGCATTAAGTTCACTGTTAAGTGATTAAGTAATTAGTTGTCCGACATATCTGTTCGCTAAACGGTTCGCACAAACTGTCAAAGAGTCGCAAAGGGTTTACTTTTACGAGTTGTTATATGGAAGCAAATATTTTGGTAAACAATCAGGGTGTGATGTAAAGACCATGGGCATTTGTCATATGATGGACTTGCCATTTGTGTTTGGTCTGCCACTACTTGATCCACACCATTACACTCCTGAAGATATCTTATTCAGCAACGTTGTGATGAAATTATGGACAAATTTTGCCACTAATGGGTAAATACTACAATAATTACATCGTTTAATAATTAACCATGCAAATGCTATAAATATTACACAATCATCTATTATAATTTTTAATATTATTTATTACCGCAAGTAATTTACGCGGAGTATACTATATGTGCAGATGTTTTAGTAATTTTAAAATTTGACATATAGTATTTAATTAAACATTTTTAAATTTTTTTATGTTTATAGTAATTATAAATATTTCATAATTGCTACCATTAAATAATACATATAAATTTTAGCCATACCGACTCTAATTGGCCGCAACTATTAAATGATGATCCGATGGGTACGCCTAAAGTGCACGGTTTGGATCCAACAAACCTAACCCTCTTATTAAAGGATCCGTTTCATCAAACGTGTGATGGCGTGTGGGCTCACTATTTCCTATAGATTAAAATTAATGTTGCTTATTTTAATTAAAGCTACTCCATTTGATGTATTTAATTTGTTTATTTTAAAATAATAAAATAATTTACATATAATCATAATATAATTGTTGTGATAAACGCAATGTAAATTGATGCAAAATTTTTTAGTACTTTATTTTGATGTCTGAAATAATATAACAGTATAATTCAATACGAATGTAAATACCTGCAAATATTAATAAAGATTTATTATATAAAATGTGTATTATAAATAAAATTGTAAATATGTTATGATTTTATAATTTATAATTTTTATACCGAAATAAGTGTTGATTTATTGATTTGAGCGAATCCTCCGATAGTTAAGCCAAACGTATGACTATTTCTAACAGCAGTCGTAAACGTAAGCCATTCCCTGTACTCAGTGTCCGACATATCCCTCACATTCACGCCATTCAACGCATCACTAATTTTATTACGTTTAGCACTCAAACTATCGCATAAAATAAACGTCACAACGATCTCGGTAATTTTAAAAACTGTTAGCACACTTAATTCATTCAATATTTTTTGTATTTCTACTGATTTATTCGAAACAAGTAACAAATAAATTGCTAACATAGTGCTTATAATTGTAGCGCAACTTTTAACCATAAAACACCATGAGAATATTTTATTAACGCATTTAATTTGCTCATATATTTTTTGATACGTTATTCTACTTTTAATTAATACCGTATGTCTGTTCAAACGTATTTTGAATAATCCACCTAGCGTAAAAATTATTTATTTTTCTAAAATTGCTTTGTTAATTTGTGTAATTATAATACAATACCTTCATTATATTTAACTATATCGTTATATACGGCATCAAGTTTGTAAGTATAAATAATTAAAATGATCCAGACAATACATGATTGCGAGATAAATATTAAAAATTCGCTGGTCATTGAAAACAATTCTAGCAATGTAAATATAATAATCATGTTATGCCAAACATATAACACCATAAATAACCAATATAAAACTATAATTGTACCAATGATCCAATATATAAAAACTAAATAGAATTTAACTATTATTTTATCTAGATCAATATTTTCAAAACAATTTTTAATTATATCTATTTTGAATGTAACATTTAGTGCAAACACATTTAGTATGTGCATGGTGTATATCAAAAATTGTTGAATTAATAATATTATATTAATATGCATCATGTCCATGCCAAACCCATTTATATCCATAACACAAAATTTATATATCATATTGATAAATAAACTCAAATTAATAATTATTATAATAATTAAACAGAAATAACCATAATATTTTAATCGCCTGTTTTGCTGTATATTAAAGTGCCGGTCAATAGTCAGCCCATTAAAAGTTAGGCCAATAATACGATAAAACCAAACAATTAGCCGAAGGATCATTGTAAATATCTTGCAAATGATCATGTTGTAATTTTTCAGTATATAAAGTACTTTAAATAATTAAATGTTTAAAATGTTAGATGATAATTTCAACTTAAAATTTTTAGAAATTTAATTTAAAATTCAATTTGAAGAGTTCGTTTTACTGTTTAAAAATTTCACTATGCTAACTTAGTTTTTTATTAATTTATTAAATGTAATATTTTAACAAAATTGCTACATGCTAATTATTTTGTTTACTACGACAAAGTACATTTAAAAGGTCATAAATTAAACCATTATAAATAATATAAATGCAAAATCAATAGTTTTAACAAAGGATATCTTATGGTAAGTTAGAAATATTTGTCATTAAATTTTCTTGAATAAAGAGATTTATTATATTGTATTAATATCTAAGATAATAATAATAATTTATTATTACACAATTATATATTATTGTACTTTTATTATTATATAATTTATCCAATTATTATAAGATAAATTACCTTAAAGTTCCGTGCATTACACCTGCCATGTATAAGCCCCACCTATTTTTTATGTGAATATTATTCTACATGCATTAATAAATGCATAACGCGCCCCATTGATTACCCATACAAATGTTTTTAAAAATGTAACCTTTTTCAATAGATAACCCGCGGCTAAAGCACGGAACTTTAGGGTATGTATAATTGAATAATTATATATGTATACAATTGTAAAATAGAGAAAGAAAGAAAGAAAAAGAGAGAGAGAGAGAGAGAGAATCAATAAATTTAATACATTTAAAAAGAATATAATAAGTTATATAATTAAACATTTTAAATATATTTTTATACAGAATTTTATATTTTCAATTACCATAATGTATATGTTATTATTTTAATTCAGTGTCTCCTCGTAAAGCACATTACTTCTTGAGATGAATGTATAGTAACAATAGTCTTACCTTAAATAAACACATTTAATTTGATTATTTGTATTTTTTTAATTCACTCTAATTAAGCATAAATAAATTGTTGTAATAATATTTGTAATAATTAATGTAAGTAAAGAATATGTTTTATAGGAAATAGTCGGCCCACAAGACATCACATGTTTCATGAAACGGATCACTCAATACAAGCCGTAAGTCCTTTGGGTCCAAACCGTGGACTTTGGGCGCACCCATCGGCTCATCGTTTAACAGTTGCGGCCAATCAGAGTCCATATGACTAAAGAAATAATGGGCATTAGTAATTTATTTAATTTAATTTAAATACCCTATTAATACAAAAATTTTGATTATAAATATTAAAAATATTTAATCTACTTATTTTTGCTGAAATGTTTAAGTAATTACTAAATAACTTTATTTACCCATCGGTGGCAAACTTTGTCCACATTTTCATCACAACATTACTGTAATAAATATCTTCCTGACTGTAATCCTTAGGATGAAGTTGTGGTAAACCAAACACAAAGGGTATTTCCATACCATGACAAATGCCCATGGTCGTTACATCGCAGCCAGCATCTTTAGCGAACCAATCGCTTGCGTACAACAACTCGTAAAAGTAAACCCTTTGCGACTCTTTGACAGTTTGTGCGAACCGTTTGGAGAACAGATATGTCGGACACCCGAGAAGTAAATCACCCGCTAATGATATATAGGACTTGTATAGAGCCGTTGGATCGCTAGTGTTGACACTTTTCAAGTAATATTCTGTCACTTTAGTCACATTTACGTTGTGATAACCCAATAAATCAAACGCTTTAATCCCATTGTTAAAATCGGTGAGTGTCATATGAGCAGGGTCTTTAATTACTGCCTTAGTAAATGATGAGCCCTCATTGCGTGAGACTCCAGCGATTAAATCAACATCTAATTAATTATATATAGAATTTATCATTTAGAGATTCTAGATTCATTGTCGTGTTGTATTATAATTTAGAATTTTATTTAAATGTATACATTAATAAATTAATTTTTAATTTAATTATATACCTGTATTAAACTTTTTCTCGTTGAAGGCCTGTCGGGCACTAATGGGCAGAAACTCTGTGCCGAACACCGGGTAAGTGGCGATTGGGTTCTCGTATTTGAGTATATCCTTTGCATTCGCTCTTCGCAGACATTGTATCCAATCCTCGCTTTCATTGCATTTCAATTGTTTCGCTATATTTTTAGCCTGAGATAAGGCCTCAGTTTTGTTGACCACATCCCTGTCCTTGTTGTACATATTGGCGCCGCTTTCCATAATAGCCCTCTGAAACATACCCTTAGATAGCGGGGAGAGTATGTGTGCGGACACCGACCAACTCCCGGCGCTTTGACCAAAAATAGTGATCCGATCCTTATCTCCACCAAATGAATGTATGTTTTCTCTGACCTATTATATTATTAATAAATATAGTGTATCTAATTAAAATTTTGATTAAATTACAAATAAAAATAATATGAATTAATACCCATTTCAGGCCTAATAACTGGTCATAAAAGCCGACATTTCCGGGCGCGTCCTCCCGATCCCAATAGGCCTTTGGATAGCGGGGAGAGTATGTGTGCGGACACCGACCAACTCCCGGCGCTCTCACCAAAAATGGTGATCTGATCCCTATCTCCGCCAAATGAGTGGATGTTTTCTCTAACCTATTATTGTACAAGTAATACATTTATAATTCATACGATATGTTATTAATAATAAAAATTAAATGCGATCAATTCATACCCATTTCAAGCCTAACAACTGGTCATAAAAGCCGACATTTCCGGGCGCGTCCTCCCTATCGCCGTATAGGAACCCAAACGGTCCTAACCTATAGTTGACGGACACAACCACCACATCATGTGTAGCCAAAACGCTCCCATTATATACTTCTTGAAAGATTGAACCCATATTAAGTCCGCCGCCGTATATCCAAAACATCACTGGCTTTAATGCTGTGGTATTTGTTGTCCATATGTTAAGCACCAGACAGGACTCATTTGCATGGGTTGTATGCATGAGTTTTTAGGTTTTATTGCGTCAATTATATCCTAAAAATATTAGTATTTAAAAATTCTAAAATACATATTTATTAATTATTTTATTAAACCAGTATAATACAATATTGCTATAAAATATATGTATTACCACATGTTTAATTTGATCTTATTAATGATATTTTGTATTACAGATAATACTTACGGGAAATGGTTTAGAAATGGGTTCGGGTTTTGCGAACCTATGTTTGCCGACGCCCCCAAGCCGCATACCTTACGGGTGTTTGACTAGGTGTAAACACAGGTTGTGTACATCACAGGGACCCCTCACTACTCCTATACTTGTGTTTACATTAATACTATTCACAGTATTTAATGTAAAATATAATGTTGTTATAATAGTTAGAATTAACATTTTGGTTTTGAATTTAGCAAATATTTATAATGATAGATAATATACTTTTTTATTTTAAAAATTGTCGTTATATATACTTTGTTAAATTAGGTGCAGTTAAATACAAATTGATTATAATTTGGCTTGAATGCATTTACAATTTAAATGTATCATTAATGATACAATTGATTAATTTTTATAGAATATAATTTTTTAAATGTTAATAGTTAAATACTGCTGTTTCTACTTTTAATACCTTTAGACTTTCCCAAAATAAATATATGAAAGTAAACTTTTAAAAAGTCAATTCATTTCTCATAGATTAGTTCATTCAAGTTATATGTCTATTTATCAAGCACTAATAAACTATTATTGATAATTTTTAGTGCAACAAGACACAATGATATGTCACCCTAGAGCTCTCGTACTCGTAAATAAAATTGTACTAAAATTAGTGGGATTAAAAAGTTGTACTAAAAAATTATATTGTAACATTTAGTTCAGTGAACATACTGTATTTACTCATAATGGTGAAATTTTTAAAGCTTGTTAGTGCACATTTTAAAAGTACAGTTAAACATCGTTATATATACTGTATATATCAAGATTTAAGATATCAAAAATAATGTTAATAATAAATTTATTAATATTTGTAAATTACATCAATAAATAATGTAATTAGGGTATAATACATGAAAGTATTTATTGAATGAGTTTATAATTTAAATAATTTACTTATGCTATTCTATATGCTATATAAAATAATAATAATACTAATATCTCTAAAGCGTATAGCAGTACTGATAATTAACCAAATAATTAACCAAATCATTAAACTGGCCACGTTTCATTAGTTTCTCGCTATCAGCCCGAGATATTTACTTTTAATTTTACCATGTGACTTAAGATACACGTCCTAAAGAATTTAATAAAATTTTGATCTAATAATGTGTTAGCTTGTGTTGACACATTTTATAGAATATACGGTTAATTTAATTATATAAACACAAAAAATATATATAAAAATTTGGCAATTCATTTCCTTTATTTGGAATTAATAAAATCATACATATTGATTATAACAACACATAATAATATTGTTAATTATACTAAATTATCAATATAATTATTTGCAAAATTTTGTATAATTATTTTAGTAATATCATGCCATCATGCTCTATTTACATTTATTTATAGAAAATAGTCAGCCCACACGCCGTCACAAGTTTCATGAAACGGGTCTTTTAATACTAGGGGTAAGTCCTTTGGGTCCAAACCGTGGACTTTGGGCGCACCGCTCGGCTCATCGTTTAAGAGTTGCGGCCAATCACGGTTCAAATGTCTATAATTATCATGGGTAATTTTGTATATTATTACTCTAATTACAGATGCTAAAATATAATTTTTTAATACTTAACCTAACCATGTAAAGAATGATTTTATAGATAATAACAATGTTATTTACCCATCGGTGGCAAACTTTGTCCACATTTTCATTATATAATTGGAATAAAATCTATCTTCTGGAGTGTAATTATTGGGATCGAGTAGTGGTAAACCAAATACAAAAGGTAAATCCATGGCGTGACAAATGCCCACGGTCTTTACATCACAGTTCATTAGCTTAGCAAAATAATTAGTTGCGTACAACAACTCGTAAAAGTAAACACTTTGCGACTCTTTGACAGTTTGTGCGAACCGTTTGGCGAACAGATATGTCGGACAACCGAGCATTAAATCACCCGCTAATGCGCTAAAAGCTTTTCGTAGAGCAAATGAATCGCTAGCGTTGACACCTTTCAGGTAATGTGCCGTTACTTTTGGCACATCTATGTTGTGATACCCAATGCTTTCGTCCAATGCTTTTAACCCGTTGTAAAAATCAGTAAGTGTCATATGATCAGGGTCTTTGATCACTAGATAGCTAAGCTTTGAGCCCTCGTCGTGTGTAATACCAGCGATTAAGTCAACATCTATTTATTTAAACAATTTTATTATACATATTATAATCCTATTAATATACTAATAATTTAATCAAAGTACCTGTGTTAAACTTTTTCTCATTAAAAGCTTGATGTGGACGAATGGGTAAAAACTCTGTCTCAAACACCGGGTATAAGGCGTAAGACGATTCATATTTGAGCAACTCTTTGGCGTCCGCTCTTCGCAGACATTGTATCCAATCCTCGGTTTCATTGCATTTCAATCCTTTGGCCATTGCTTTGGCCTGAGATAAGGCCTCAGTTTTGTTGACCACATCCCTGTCCTTATTGAACATATTGGCCCCGCTTTCCATAATAGCCCTCTGAAACATACCCTTAGATAACGGGGAGAGTATGTGTGCGGACACCGACCAACTCCCGGAGCTCTCACCAAAAATGGTGATCTGATCCCTATCTCCGCCAAATGAGTGGATGTTTTCTCTAACCTATTATTAAATAATTAATTCATATGAAATGTAAACATATTATGATTAAAAAGAAATCAATTGATACCCATTTCAAGCCTAACAACTGGTCATAAAAGCCGACATTTCCGGGCGCGTCCTCCCGATCCCCGTATAGGAACCCAAACGGTCCTAACCTATAGTTGACGGACACAACCACCACATCATTGGTGGCCAAAGCTGTCCCGTTATAAATCTCCATAAAAATTGACCCACTATTAAGTCCGCCGCCGTATATCCAAAACATCACTGGCTTTAATGCTGTAGTATTTGTTGTCCATATGTTAAGCACCAGACAGTCTTCACTCATACCAGCGCCCGGAGCAATAGGGAAAATACCTTCTCGTTGTATGCATGAGTTTTTTGGTTTTGTCGCATCAATTATATCCTAAAATTATATTAAATTTTTTAATTAATTTAGTTTTATTAATTAAAAAACTTATAATTAGAAACATAATTTTATCTCAACGATTTGTAGAGTACAGTACTTACAGGGAATGGCTTAGAAATGGGTTCGGGTTTAGCGAACCTAAGTTTGCCGACCGGGGGTTCGGCGTAAGGTATGCCCAGAAATTGGTCCACATTTGTGTCCAACACATGTAGTGTCCGACCCCTCACTACTCCTATACTGGTGTTCACATCAATACAATATACGTTGATTGATGTAAAATATAAAATAACAATAGTTACAAAGCTATAAAAATTCAACATTTTGCTTTATTATTTTAGCAAATTATATTAATCAATAGTATAATGTTCAACATTATATATTCTTTAAAATTATCTGTAAATACTTTTTATCATACTTTACGTAAAAGAATGTATTCTACACTTGTAGTAATAAAATGTCAAAAGTTACACTATAGATTAAACTTGTTATAATATTATATTTAATAATCCCTGGATTATAGTACATTAGTATAACCTAGATTTGTTTAATAACCTATACTGATTACACCTCAAAAAATACTTATTAACTAATATGTTGTAACTTTATTAATAAAAGTTAGTTCATAATGTTAATCAATACACTACAATGTACTAGTGCTAATGTTAGTACACTGGAATTATATTACAATAGTGTATTTACAATTAACTTATCTATAACGAGTTAGTTTAGTACAAATGACTAATATTCATGGATAACTATGTACAATAATAAAATTATATATTGTAAAACAGGTATTACATTATATCAGGTATTATGCAATTTATTCATATTTCATTAGTAATAGAATTAATAATTTAAAATAGTTATACAATTTATAATAAATTGATACCCATTTGAGAGCCAATTACAGGTCATAAAACCCACATTTCCTACCGATTTGTAGATTGGTGTAAATTTTTCAAAAGGGATAATAAAAGTTGTTAAACAGGTATTCATTAAACATTAAAAACACGTGTTTTGAAAGACAAGTATTGTCCGCCATATTGTCATTAATTGCGTTTAGATTTATATTAGATTTTGAATTTTTAGTTTTCAAATCAAATTTATATTTTGTTTGTAAAATAGTTTTATATCGTTTAAAAATGTGTTCAAAATTAATGAGTGTTTCATTGACTGAAATGAAGAGTAAATTCAATGCAATGAAGAGTTTGTGTGAAATA